ATTTTGTTGCGATCATTTTCAATGCGCTGATTTGTGCGACCTCGAGAGAAAAGGAAATCAGATGGTTTTGAGGCAAAAACCAAACCTCTAGATATCTGGTAAAAATGTCGGCAACATGGCTTTCTAGAATTAGATTCGGAATGTTTTTTCAGGTTAAAGTCAATGAAACAAACATAACAGCTAAGACAATGTATTTTCTAACTTAAAAAACAAGAAACTGAGAACCTAAATATAATATATCTTTTAATATAAACAACGGTAACGACGACAGGAAATATCCTCAGCGCTTAACATTGGGCGTCTTGCAAACTGAAAACCATGGCAACAACATATCAACAATCCTTCCGCACGAACTTTTTGATACATTTTATCTCAATAAGTGGAGTATGATCGGTAAATATCGCAAAGAAGGTTGAAGATCTACTGATCTCGATGAATTACAATATAGAACGCTTTTTAACAAAATATCGTAAAACGAAACCAAAGTAATCCCAACAGCAAATCAGATGGACGGCAAATGCCTTGAAGATGAGAACTCAAAGTAAAACCAATCAAACTGCCTGAAGCGCGAGAAAACGTGAGAGACCATGCGGTGATTGGCTTAATTTTTGTACCTGATTAGTAGAAAGAGTGGCGCGAGTTTTCTAGTCGCTGCGATTGGCGTATGAAGTCACCGGTATGTGGCATGTCAGATATCGGCTATTTTCGCTGGCAATCAAATTCGCCGCGATCGGCGAATTAATTCACTGAGTATCTCTTCGGCTTAAGAGACCTCTTGACAGTTATTCGACAAGGTTGAGCAAACTATCGTGATTTTTCAGTGGCGTGCATAACATATTATTCATCACTGTTTAAATTTCATGAGAATTGCCAGGAAAGGAAAAGAAAACAAAAGGAAAAAGAGAATTTCACTTTACCCTTCTAAGAAAAAATTGGTAGTCTATTTCGATTCTATCTTATTGTTCGTAAGCGATATTAAATTTAAATAAAAACTCCGCGAATTCTCCATGCATGGAATAACTTGCACACGCAAAGTCGCTAAAAAGTGCAACTCCAGCTTGGAGAGAGAAAACAAATAAAAACGGCTACTCACATAACCCATAGTCCTACGCGTAATTTCGCGCGAGCTTCCAAAATTTAAATGTCTGAGCACGCGTTACGCGTCACGCGTCACGTCAATTCGTTTTTATTTTAAAATATTTTGCCTTCCCATAGCATGTTTCTGAATTACAGTTAAGATGTTTCAGTTTTTTAATTGGTCAAATGACAATCTTGGCTACATACTCAAATCTTAAAAGCTACACGGGTGTGGCCATCACGTCCATGATACACTGCTACAATTCGTCCTCATGGTCAACTTTGTTTTGGAGTGTCGAGCATAATCACAAGGTCTACGTCTCCAATTCTTACGCCAGAAAACACTTAGCGATTTTATTCGTTGATCGGCGAAAATCATCAGGTGCGCCCGCTGCAGCGATGTTTTCAACACTAATCGCCGCGATTGGCATATAAAATCGTTGATATCTGGCATGTCACTTTGTATCAGCGGCTTAAGGTCCTAAGGGCAGGAACACATTATTTGCGCCATTTGCTCCAATTGCCATCTTTGACGTCCTAAAAACAGAAGTACTTTTGACAGATTCAGTGGCCACCTGTCCTCCCGTTTGGCCCGAGCGAAATGATGGTTTGGGGTTAGCACAACCTCGTTCGGTGATCTGAACTCCGCTAGGTTAACGGACGGGGAATAACAGCGGGGACTCTACGAACACTGTGATCAGCTCCTCACCGGTCACCACTCGGACCCCTATTATATTATTACATCCCTACGGCATAAATAACTTTCCTTGCAGTTTTCAGTCTTTAAATTTGTGGGCTCCTCAAAAGTGTGGGCAGCTGATGGATTGAATCTCTATATGTTAGTCCAAGTTCGAATGTCTTGTTCTGGAGCAATTTTCGGTCTAACAGCTTTCTTTAACTCTTTAATTACCGGAGCCAACGGGTACAATCTTCAAGTTAGCCGGTCGTCTTACACTGGAATGACATTTGTTTTAAGACTTCAATGAAGAGCGCGAGCCTCTTTTCCGACAGTACGGGTGTTCTATGGAAGATCCGAAGGCGCAAAGATCTCCAACCTCAAGCCATGTTCGTGAGGGGATGAAGCGATTCTCTAAAATTTCGTCGTCCCATTCTAAGCCCTTTGGATCCAAGTCCTGATGAAAAAGCATCTCTGGAAGAATAAACGGAGCTGCCATTCCAGCAAGTCACGAACGGAATTGACCATTGAAAGTATACCACGGCTAGTAAAAAGTCGATCTTTAATGAGCACTTTTAAATCAAATGTGCCAGTCGAGACGAACCAAGATACAACCAGGTGCATCACAGTTGCATGTCTCCCATCACAGATTGCAGTGCGCGCAGGGCTTCTTCTTGCAGCATCATATCGATTGATGTCTTTTTCTGAAACACGAGAAACACAGGCTTTTCTTTTAAACGAAATCAAAACGTTTGCAGACGGAACTATTTAAGAAACCTACACGACGCAGTCTTCCTACTTTATCAAGAATACGATTGTTGATGTCTCGCCACCTGCTCTGCATCTTAGGAGACAATCTCTCTCTATAACATTTCTTATGTTTTCGGGGATTTAAACCATGTGGAGATACCCGGTAGTTTTGAGGATGTTGGTGCAATCGAACAGGAGAATTCAAACACCTACAGATTCAGCTTCCTTCTGGGTTAAGGCATAAACAGCTACGCACAATCTGTTGAGCTCTTCTTTATGTGTTGCTCCAACAAATACAATCTGCCTGCACTTTCATGTTTATTTCCTTCGATAACAGTCTCGAAGACATGCGCGAAAAAATATTAGACGGGGGCTTTTTTTCTCGAGTTTTTCTGCTGCTGATTTACGAATTTCTCCATCGCACGATTTTGACTTTCAAGATTATAGTAGGCTTGGTCTCTAAGGCTAAATTCGTCATCAAGCAGAAGATCTCGGAACCGTTTTTTGCTAAGTCTTCTGACTCACGAGTACGATAATCGCATTATAAAACATGGATCAAATTCTGTTTGAAGCCCTGGGGGATCTCCTCGGGAGGACTGGCCTCGCATGGTGCGGATAAGAGAGCATGGACACGACGCCAAGAGTAGTCCTTTCAACATTTACCTTAGCATACTCGTCTTCCCTGGCTACTGCCTTCTTGTGTTTCTTTTCCAGTTTAAGCTGGTCAAATTGATCATTAGTCTGAGAAATCCAATGAGGTGAAAAGAATAAGAAAAAAATTTGTCTGTATCTTCTAGGAAAACATTGAATGTTTGATTTTAAATTCAAATCTTAGTTTTTATTATTTAGTGCATCTCAGTTTTTATTGTTAATATTGTAGCGCATCTCAGTTTTTATTATTTAGTGCATCTCAATTTTTATTACTTATTGCCGACAACCAAGAAACCTCTCTCTTGATTAACAGGACGAGCGAGATTTTGCCTACGGGCTCTTGAGTCAAGCGGAATTGGAGTAAGGAGAACTGGAGGTAAATCCGTTGAAGGTTATTTATGAATATGTGTTACCTACATTACGTCTTTTGTTTTTAATGGGTGTGCTTAAAGTTTGGTGAACAAGGCTAAAGATTTGTTTTTCAACTGCAGTGTTATGACTAAAACTTGGTGAACTGTAAGAAAACTGATTAAGGTAGAATTTACACCAAAAACACATTAGTAGATAATTACATCTGATAAATATCATTCTAAATGCTGTTACTATCGTCATTATCATTGCTCATAAATGCAGTTTAGAATTTGAACATTTATATCTCTGTCACAGATCGAAACACGAGGGTACAGACCCGAATCATTGTGAGTATCTTAGTATATTTATGGGCAAAAGTTGTTACTTTATTAAAGTAAAAGCGAAGGAAATTATAAAGGAGAAGCTTTTTAACGTGGGTGGTTTTCCGAGAGCGAAACTCAAGGAATACTGTAGCTCCGATAAACAGAAAATGTTCAAGGTGGAATATTCGAGAACACTTTCGCGCCAAATATAGATTATTGTGTATTCACAATCCATAGGATATTTTGGCTACGCGCAGTACAAATTTTTTCGAACAGCTTTCTGACCCTTTATTGCTTTTGATTTTCAAACTTCAGTTGAAAATTTGATAACACCATATATCCCCCAGTTTTCGGCCGGGTGACACGTTACATTTGATATATTAGAACATGGAATATTCTTTTTCTGCAGTGATAATGGATAGTCACACATCTTTTGATCCGCTGGGTATGGATTAAAAGTGCAGGAATCAAATTTGTCATGACAGAAGACGCTACTCTTCTTTGTTTATTATTCCACCACCTCGTAAGCAACGAAGAGCATTGTTCTAGATCTAATATTTGGCGATAATTTTACCAAAATTAAGTATTGGCTGATAAGTTAAACTGTAGGGACGTGAATGAAATACCGTAAGTGTTTGCAGGGAAGGTCAAAAGGAAAATTCGGGCAACCTCTTACTTTCAAGTGTATTTTAGCAGACAAATGTTAAATAGAAGTCTTTGGTCTATTTTTCTCTTTTAATGTAATACTACACAGGAACAGCAACAAAGAAAAGAGCAAGAAGAGCTCGAGAGGTATGAGTATAAACGATAAAGGGAAATTGGATGAGAACTTTTAAATTGATGCTTAATCTAATTAATTTGATGATTTTATGTCTGGGTAACACAAAACAGATCATCCGTGAAGCTGCATTGATTTTAACATTGGCCTAAATTCAAAATAAAGAAATAGTATTTCACTGAATCTTGTAATTGATATTTTCCTTAGAAATGTTGAGCAACACTTCAGAGACGAAAAGTTGAATTGCATTATTTGCAGTTTGGTGCGGAAGTTAGACTGATAATTAGCACAGGTTAAATATGAATGGAAACTGTGTCACTTTGGAAAATCTGACGAGCTGTTGTAGCACTCAGTTCACTCTGACTCATTTATTCTGTTTGATTCATTCTCTTTAAGTGTGGAGGAGCTGCTTAAAATCAAGCACGAGCTGACAAAAGAAAGGGATGAAAAGCTCTCTGAAATTGCCAGAGTAAGGGTGTTTGATTTCATATTTCCATTCAAATTTTCTTTCGCTCTATTACATTCTCTATAAATTTCATGAGCCAGCAAATGTTCAACAAAAATTTCAACATGAAACCGTCTTTATACAGTAAGTTATCGCGTGCAGTTTAGTAACTTTGCAAAAACATCTACGTTATCGTGTTTTAAATAAGTATAAAAAGTAGGACTCGCAAATCCGTGCAAAGCAAGTGCTAGACCCTGTTGTCATTTTTTGTAGAAACTGGCAAATATAGGGTCCCTTATACATTTTTATGTCTACCACAAATTTCCATGAAACCTCACAGACTCCTTGATATTGATATTTTTTAATAAATGTTTATTAACAAGCAAGGAATATGATTTTTTTTCAGTAAAAAGTTAGAAAGCACAATGATCTTCTAAGAGGTCCATTAGATTTTAAATTGATAAAAGATAGGTTTCCATGGTTATACATTAGGTTACATTCGCATGACTTTTTTTTGACAGCTGAAAGAAGACATTCAAGTCCAAAGTAATAAAGCTCAGCGAGAAGCTAGAAAAGGAGAGGAACTTAAAAAGGAGTTGAGTCAAGCAAAGAACGATTTAGAAAATAGAACTGCTGAGCTGAAAACAAAAACAGAAAATCTTCAACGTGCACAGGAAGACATCACAAAACTTGACCAGGAACTCAAGAAACAGAGGGTAAATTTGTTAAGAGTTTTTTATAAAATTTTCATTTGTCTTCAAAAGTTCATGTCAATATTCGTGCGATAGAAAAAAAAAAACGTTTAGGCTTTCCTCGGTCATGTATACTTCTTTAATTAGAGAGGAATGGCTTTCAAGTGTTGATGATAATATTTGATTTATTTTTTAGATAATGAATGAAAAAGCTATGGAGTATACAGATGTGTTGAATGCTCGCCTAAACAAAGTCCAGCAAGATTTTGATCAGCAACTTGTCAGCATTAATCGGCTGGCCACGGAAAACACAAATAAAGCAGCCGAGTTGAAGGCAAAGGAAGATGAGATAAACGAGCTGAGACAGGAAAGACTGCACCAAAGTGCAATAGGAGAAGCCATCCAGAAAAAGCTGAGAGACGTCGAGGAACTGAAGATAGAGGTTGAACAACGAGAAGAAACTCTTAAAGGACAAGTTTCTGGCTTGAAAAAAGGTAAAGGTATGGTGACAAATATAGACAAGGTCAACTACAAATTGCAGCTTTTTCCAAGTATTATCCTGTTAAATAAGTTATCTTTGTTGTATGATTAGTACAAAGGTGAGCTGCAATTTATGCAACGGCAGGAAAGAAGCTTTTCCAGTCTCCCAGACACTAGTTGTGTGCAACTACCAACTGAGCTACGAAGCCACACGCTGGGAGCGGGGCACAATTTAAAGGATTCTTATGATAATAATCTTTTAGTTCAATGTTAGAAATTATGTTGGTATCCATTGTGGTAAATATTTTTATAGATGTTCTATGGTTCGTGTCACAATATGGAGTCAGGCGAACAATTTATATAGATTGCCTGACTCAATATGGTAACATAAACAATAAAAAATCCATTAAATTCTTTAGTTCTCGTTAAAATCTATAGGTTGTTCGACATACTTATCAATTAAGATTACTCAAATGAGATGTAACCATTACAATCTATAAACTCTCTCTTCCTTTATCTTATTCAGAACTTGAATCAAGGAAAAATCAAGCTGAAGCAGATAAAAAGGCCATCGATGATCTTATCTGTCAAAGGGACTTCCTTAACCAGGTAATTTACTCTTGTCAATTTTACTCTTAATCTGAGCCTAGGAGTTTTGTGTTTTTGGTTTTTAGAACGAGATGTTATATTTAATGTTTGATTTTATTTTTGTCGACAAATCCTTTAAAAAATTTTGAATTTGGAGTCAACTGGTTCTTGTGGTCGGACCTCATCCTGTTTACTGCGTTATAAATGGACCTGGAGTATTTACATTCCTCCTAGTTAAACGGCTCGCAAATATCTGTACTCTAAATTTTAAAGACAAAAACATCTTCATACATTAGCTCATCGTGTGTTCTTAAGTACATTTTTAAAGTTAGAGAAAACGCAGTTTTTGACTCATTTACAACGTATGACTCTAAACTTGCCAATCTATGCCAAGCAAATGCTTGACCCTGTTGTCATTTCTTTGTAGAAATTGGCAGATATAGGGTCTCATGTATAAATCTTGATATGTTTGCCACAGATGTCCATGAAACCCCTCTGACTCTCTAATATTGCTATCTTTATAAATGGTTATTAAGAAGCAACGAATATGATTTTATTGTTCCATTAAAAAGGTTAGAAAGCAAGATTATCTTCTAAGGTGTCCATCACATTTTAAAATTAATGGAAACAGTTTTCCATGGTTATACATTTGGTTAAATTTGTAGGATTTTTTTGTTCCGACAGTTCAAAGAAGAAATCCAAGTCCAAAGTGATCAAGCCCAGCGAGAAGCTAGAAAAGGAGACGAACTTAAAAAGGAGTTGAGTCAAGCAAAGAGCAATTTAGAAAATAGAACTGCTGAGCTGAAGACAAAAGCAGGAAACCTTCAACGTGCACAGGAAGACATCACAAAACTTGACCAGGAACTCAAGGAACAGAGGGTAAATTTGTTAAGAGTTTTTATTCAATTTTCATTTGTCTTCAAACGTTCATGTCAATATTCGCGTCATAGAAAAAAAGATCTTTTAGGCTTCCCTTGGTCATGGATACTTCTTTAATTAGAGAGGAATGGCTTTCAAGTGTTGATGATAATATTCGATTTATTTTAGATAGTGAATGGAAAAGCTATGGAGTATACGGATGTGTTGAATGCTCGCCTAAACAAAGTCCAGCAAGATTTTGATCAGCAACTTGTCAGCATTAATCGGCTGGCTACGGAAAACACAAATAAAGCTGCCGAGCTGAGGGCAAAGGAAGATGAGATAAACGGGCTGAGACAAGAAAGACTGCACCAAAGAGCAATGGCAGAAGCCATCCAGAGAAAGCTGAGAGCCGTTGAGAATCTGAAGATTGAAGTTGAACAACGAGAAGAAACTCTTAAAAGACAAGTTTCTGGCTTGAAAAAAGGTGAGTGGAATGATGGTATGAAAAGAGAATGTTTGTGTTTTTTAAAAATTAGGCAGATCACGAACATATCTGGCTTTCCCTTTTCCTCAGTTATAGAGTAGCCCCAACAAGGCAAAGTCACCTTAATCGTGATTCTGCGTGTAGATTTAAGGGACTTACAAATATAGACAAGGTCAACTACGAATTACAGCTTTTTCCAAGTATTATCCTGTTAAATAAGTTATCTTTGTTGTACGATTAGTACAAAGGTGAGCTACTATTTATGCAACGGCAGGAAGGAAGCTTTTTCAGTCTCTCAGACACTAGTTGTGTGCAACTATCAACTGAGCTACGAAGCCACACGCTGGGAGCGGGGCACAATTTAAAGGATTCTCATAATAATTAATTTTTAGTCCAATGTTAAAAATAGAGAATAATATATGGGTGCGCATTGATATGGAATTCTTCGAGTGTTCAACTCGAGAAGAGAATTCCATATCTACAATTAACCGTGTAATATATGGATTTAGCCAAGCCTAAAAGCGGAGCTCGCATTTTTTCTTTCCCGCAAGTTTTTTGCCTTTTTTCTCAAGGGCACAACGCCTTGCCCCGGCCAGAACTAGAACCCGGGTCGTCCGACTCGAGAAAATTCTGACAAACGACCTTGGATTGAGAATGGTCAAGGCTTTATTGTTCATTCATCAACCTAACAGAGTGGCGAGAAAGGCGAGTGACGTGCTAGCAGCTGATTGGCGATATTAAACACATGTGAAAAAAATATCGTATCTTTTCACATGTGTTGTTACGGCTTTTCTCAGGGCTGGAAATCCTGGTATAACACCATAATTTATATGATAAATTATGTTATTATTCATCGTGGTGAATAACTTGATAGATGTTTAATCGTTTGTCTTATGATAAAGAGTCAGGCGACCAAGTCATATTGATAGCCTGGCTCTATATCTTGAGATGAACAATAAAACATCTATCAAATGTTTTAGTTCTTGTTATAAGTTGATGTAATTACAAATCATGATAATTAGATTGTTTGACATATTTAGAAATTAAGATTACTCAAATGAGATTTAACCTTTACAATCTATAGAATTTCTCTGCCTTTATCTTAATCAGAACTTGAATCAAGCAGGAAGCAGACTGAAGCAGATAAAAAAGCCATCGATGATCTTGTCTGTTCAAGGGACATCCTTAACAAGGTACTTCACCCTTGTCAATTTTACTCTTAATCTGAGCTTGGGTGTTTTAGGGTTTTGGTTTTTAGAAGAGGATGTTATATCTAGTATCTAGTATTTGCTTTTATTTTAGTTTATCAATCTTTAAAAAGTGTCCAAATTCTGTTATAACCTCAGGAACATTGATGTTTGATTAAAAGGGAACGTGGGTTTTGGACGAAACATCGTTCTTTTTATGAAAAAGATCATCGCTTATATAATTCTCCTTAGGTGGGCTAAAAACAGGACCGGGACCTCATCCTGTTTGCTGCGTTATGAATGCACTTGAATCGAATCGAATGTTTGTCCATTGCAGGTTCCCCTCCTCCCACCCCTCCCCTGGACTGACTGCTAGTCCATTACAGGTAACTCTCCTCCCACCTCACCCTTAGGAGGTTTGAGGCACCCTAAGGCACCGCAATTTTTCTCATCCTATGTTATTGAGTATAATTAATAAGAGAGAGGATTTGAGTTTGTCTATGTGCTTAAATACACACAGGAGGAGATGGAAGCAAAAGAAAAAATAAAAATGTAAGCACTAAAGGTTGTCTCATTCGTTGCATTAGCACCGTGCTTTTTAAGTGCTTTCATGTCTCCCGATCTTGCTGCAAATGTATAAACTAGGGAGTTATACCTGTGTCAACTTGTGGTTAATGTTTGTTTACCTGAAAAATACTGAAATTAGTAAACAACTGCTAAGTCTGTCTTAGAGTCAAATTTTGGCATCGCAAGCTGTCGGATTATTCGCACACAATCAATTATCAATTAATCAATTTGGGAAGTTACAACCTTTTCCCCTTATTTTAGACCCTGCAGCACCCTTTTGCCTCTCTCGTAATACTTAATTCCTGGTTAAAAATTAACACTTCTTCTATAATTAGTAAGAGCCATAAACATTTCTATTTGCTTGAAAAGATTTGGTTCACATATTTTCCCAATTTTAAACTATTCCTTAACGCTATAAGAGTTAAGGAGCTCCAGTAAAATGACACAAAAGGACATTTTGTTTGTCTTCGTGAAGTGATATCACAGAGTGTTGTAAATTTTTTTCTTCTTTTTACAGAGAATTGAAGAAATTAGAGAGAAACTTCACTATCTATCGCTTGGAGGTAAAATATCTGTAATTGAGCACTTTGTACGTAGAACGCTTTATCTGGTTGGTGAATCTGATTTCCAAGCTAATGCGTTAAGCGGAATCAAGTGACAAATATTTTTATGTTTGTATTTACGGGCGAAATATTTGAAGATTATTGTCTTACCGAAACGATTGATGAGATTGGAAACATGCCGTTGCACTTAAAAGGTGTCCATTAAATTTTGAATCTTGTCGCGCCGTAAAAGTAAAAGCGCTTGTCCAAATATCTTTAAACTGCTCGAAAAAAAAAGACACAAAAGCTGGTTTCTTCTTGTTCAAGAAACTGTTTAAGCATTCTTGTGACTTCTTTTTGATTTTGACGAGACCTCTGTGAAAGATCTACTTTGAGCAGAGGCGTCCAGAGCAATTTAGAGAAAAATATTGCATTACAGGTAATTTAGCGTGACGACCAGTAAACTTCTATTCACGGCTCGGATTACTGTCTTTCAATTTCACCAAAGTAACAATAAAAAACCACCCGCTACCTGCAACTGAGAAGTGTTGACGGGGAAATCTTGAGGTGTTTCAAAGTACCACCGAACAATATCGGTAAACATAGTCCTGTAATTGGTTTTTCAGGGGAAGATGGCTCTGAATGACATGGAGAAGTGAGTAAAATAATATAGTTATTCGCTTATCAGCAATGGTTAGAAGACTGTTTCTAAGATGAAGTTTTCTGAGAGTGTAGCCCTGCTGAGAGGCTGGGTTGAAATCATGGTCACAGAAACGCTTGAATTTTTGGAAATGAAGATCTATAGCCCGTTATCAGTGGAGAAAATAGAGGAAAAATCTATAATAAGCAGTCGAAATACTTCTCAAGTTTTTTAATCTGGTAAATTTGTAAACCATGCAGTTCAAATTTATTTACAAATTAAGGTGAGTGGAAAATTTCGAGGTGAAAATTTTACCAAAATTTCTTTCTAAAAATGCAAATAGCACGTGTACTGAGAAATTTGGCTACAAATTTTTCTCAGAGAAAATTCCAATAGCTTCGCAATATCTAGATAATTTGATTACTTGTCGACATAGTAGCAAAGAGTTGATCATCTAAAAAGCCTCAGTGAAGCTTTTTTAATTATTAAGTAAATTCAACCATTTAGTAGATCACGACTTATTATATTATTTAAGTTCATAAACCTTACACTGTTAACTGGAAGAGTAAAATTCCATTTTGTATTTCACTTCTTACAGCAAATTGGAGGATGCGAAGAAAGCTCTAGCAGATGTAAGTATACTTGAAAAAAGTCAGCATTCACTTGCAGCACTTTAATTTGTTTTCAGCTTTAGAAATCTGAAATTATTCATTTCAGCTTTTCTTGTAACTGGTAAAGAAGTGCAAACTATCTAACCAACTGAACTTGTCAACGTGATTGAGTATGTCTTAGGATGTGGGTCCTGATCAAAGTATTCAAAAAGCTGAAAAAAAGATCCCCCTCTCTGATCGTCTGTTGAAATTGGAATACTACGACTTTATTATGGCACAAGCAAAGTGTAGTTAAATGCATGTGAACGCTCATCACCGCATGCAAAGTGTCGATTCCCGGTTGAATTGATTCATTTTGTTTCATCAGAAACTTTTAATAGCCATATAACTATAAATTTGATAACTTCGACCGTTCACTTGTTTTTGCAAAAAAACCTCAAATCTCGGCTTCAGTTTGAGATAGTCCCGTTATGACACCATTCTCGGTTATTAAGTAGTTAGAATGGAATGCCTATTGTGATTTTCCCATCACATTGTCAAGACAAACTTACTATCTTTGGAGCTGTTAAAGATTTTAACCAATAATAGAATTTAGTTTAATATTATAATTAGGGCCTTTCCACACTGGCGACTGAGTTGTTTATTTAGACAAATTTTCTTTCATCACAAACATTTTACAAGTGCGGATGGCTTGTCGCAACTTCACAAATTTTGGCCAAATCAGACATATCTTCAAACGCACCACCGATAAACCAAACCTTTATAACCTTGTCAATCATTTGTCGTAAAACTACGACAAGTGTGTAATTGAACTGAAATTAGTTTACTAGAAAGGCAAAAATTGTCATTTGCTGCAAAACTCGGGCATTCTATATTTTAAAAACGACTTAGGACAAATCTGGGAAATTGATTTTCAATAGACCGTTAGCAAGTAAAAATAAAAGATCGGCAGAATTAATTACCATCGGCTGGGTTTATCATGAAATGCGATTTTCAAGGTCAATTCATTATCTAGAGAAGTTTTACATGCCATGAGAGCCTCTTTCAACATCCTATACCCATGTTTGAAGAAAATCCCACTAATTTATAACCTAAAAACTTAAGTAAGTAGCTCTTGCTGAGATAACTCCTACATTCCTCTGAAATCATCTTTACACATAACTTTAAGTACTTGAAACTCCCAACGATGGGCATTCTGATAGGAGTGATATTACTCTTTAGACTGTCTTCACAAGAACTACTGAAACAATATCAACATCCCGTTACACTTAAAACAGCAAGCAATCCAAATGTTATACCATTATCACTAACAAACACTGCGTTTCTCTTTTGCTAGGGTAAAAGAAATCAAGAAAAAAGAAAAAGGCTGGGCGTATTTAAATGTCTGTAATTTACCTCTTTATTTTCTTTTATTACTGATGTCAATTATTTTTTCACGATGTGCTGAAATTTTTCATCCTCTTTCCCAATTTTTTAATGCTTTTCCTACGATCTTTTTAGCTTAGACAATACCTTCTTTTGTTCGGTCTCGGTTTAGAAGTTTTTATTCTTACTGGTGTCAATTATATTTATGTGACGTGCTACAGCTTTTCATTCTCTTTCGCCATTTATTAATGCTCTTCTTACGATCTTTTATCTTAGACAGTAACTTTATTATATTACTTTATTTATTACTTATTTTGTTTGGGTTCAGTTTTAAAAGTTTTTTTTTATTACTGATGTCAGTTACATTTATATAACGTGCTGCAATTTTCCTCTCTCTTGGTTTTTAATTCCTTTGGCAATTTAATGCTCTACGATCTTTTTATCTTAGAAAGTACCTTTCTTTTATTAGGTTTCGGTTTTAGAATTTTTTTTATTACTGATGTCAATAATATTTATAAGACGTGCTACAATTTTCAATCTCTTTGTTTTTGAATTCATTTCGCAATTTTTAGTGCAGTTCCTACCATCTTTTTATTTTAGGCAAAACCTTTCTTTTGTTCAGTTTCGGTTTTAGGAGTTTTTTTTTTATTACTGATGTCAATTATATTTATATGACGTGCCGCAATTTTTATTCTCTTTGTTTTTGAATTAATTTCGTCATTTTCAATGCTCTTCCTACCATCTTTTTATCTTAAGCAGTACCTTTCTTTTGTTCGGTTTCCGTTTTAGAAGTTTTTTTTTAGAAGTTTTCTATCGTCAGAAACTTCACATGTGTGGCTATCTTTGGCATCTCAGGTAAGAAGGATTCGATTCTCATCATAGTTGCCACAACCAAAACTATCAGTCGCAAAGTCTTTGCACCAGACGACCTCCACAAATCTAACTCGACCGACTTGCTACCATCATCGCCGTTGGATTTTCTCTTTCCATGCACAAGGGAGACTCACTGTTCACTGCCTGAGTAATGTTTCACTCAGGTAGAACTACACCGTCTCTGTTTCATCATCAACAACTTACAGTTAGCTCCACCACCACTGGAAGATACGACCTCGGTCAATTACCCTGCCTCGCCACTAGGTCGCAACCAGACCACCTCGACCAACACTGCCGGATTAGCTGCGTCTACCAATACAGCCAACTGAAGACGGCCTCCGCCAGCACAACGAGCGAGACCACTTCATCCTGAGCACTCAACCGAGCCACTCTTTCGGCACAACTAACTGTGCTTTCTCGACCAAAGCAGCCAAATGG